ACCTCATCCTTGCTGATCATTCTCCTCATGGCAATAGCATTATCCTTCCCCCCTCCCCCCATTAAGCCCTCTTTTCACTCTGCCAAGTTACTTATGTAATCCCAGATCCAAGACCACCTTTAAGAAGGTTTGATGGAGATGCCTGGGTGCCGGAGTGGCTCAGTCAGTTGAGTGTTTGACTCCTGATATGGGCTCAGGTCATGATCTCAGAGTCCTGGGATCAAGTGCCCCCCCAGTTGGGTGGCTCCGCACTCAGTGGGGAGTGTGTTTGAGATTCTCTCTCTCCCTCTGACTCACCTTTCCCCCCCACTCACACTCTCTCAAAAAAATAAATAAATCTTTAAAAAAAATTAAAGAATAAATAAAAATGTAAAGGTTTGATGAAATGCCATCCAGAGAGCAGTTGGTGACTGCACATTCTCTCCCCCTCCCTCCCTCCCAACCCCCCTCCCCATCACACTGCTGGGTTCAATGGGCTTGTTTCATGATGCCTATTGTATTATGTCATTTGCCAGCAAACATTTCAAGGATGAATGAAAGTATGTGACCTTCTTCAATCCAACTAGATAAGTAGTTTAAAATGTCTTTTATGTTCAGCTGAATTTATAGGTTTCAAGATGATAGATTTTTATATTCATGTTTAGATTCTTTGTGTCAGTGGTGAAGAAGCCAATTTCCCCTCTTGTAGATAATCACTTTCAAGGTCTCTTTGTGTTTGCTGAAGTCATCCAAAAACTTATAAGAGAAAAATGTAGCCACATTGTCTACAAAAAGAATCTATGTATGTCACTCTATTATAACATTTCTCTCATGCTTTCTGAAAAGGAAAACCACGCAGCAAATCAGGATCTCTTTTCTTTTACCAAGTATCAACAACATTGTGAGCTTAGTGCTTCTAGAACCCCCACTTTCCTAAGCAATTAGGTCCTCTTGTATTTACAGCTTTCTGGCTGTGCCTGCTTTTACTCTAATTTTTATGTCTGATTTAATACGAAGCCGAGTCAAGCCCCTTGGGAATGCTACCCGTATGAAAGGAAAGTCTTCATAAGTCCCAGAAATTATAAATTGAAAGGATAAATAATTATCACTTTTCAATTATAACTATAATTGAAAGAGCACAACTAGAAAAACCAGATATCGAATGTCAGCTTTGAATATTCTGTCTTACTTATTCCTGGTTAGAGGTTCATAGTCTCAAGGAGCAAAGAACAAAATTTGTCAAATTGTTTGTATCACAATATTTACTTTAAATAAAAGTTCTGTACAGTGTTGGGATCTGAGAAGTAAAGAATTGGAACAACCTCAAGTTTTAGAGCCACCAGTTACCTTCCCCTAAATGGTTTTCCTTTCCTTCTCTTTAATATTTTCCCCCTGAGTTTAGGTTATTTCTTCTGTGTTTACCAAAGAGTAAGTCGCCTATGTAGCAAATGGCTTTTGGATTTCATATAGTGGATGTCATGTTAAAGTGTAGGAGGAACCAACGCTTTTCTCTCTCTGGAATATAAACTGTCCTGTCATTTAGCCATTGTTTATTTCTTGAGGCTTTACATGTATAATTTATGACCGAAGGCTAAAGTCAATCTTTAGGAGTCTAAGAACAAGAAGACTTAAACCACTAGATTTCAGATGATATTCCAAATCTCTCACATCCATTATCCCATTTTTCCTTCACAGCAAAGCCGTGAAAAGTTGAAAGTTTAGTAAGTTGCCTAAAGCACTCCGCTAGTCGGGTTGGCAGAACTGAGATCAAAACTGAGGTCATTGAACTCTAGAACCTTCACTTTTTATTGCGTAATATTAGTTTCTAAAAGTTACTCAGCCGAAGAGAGTGTGTAATGGAGTCCCAACTTAATTGTTTCGTTCTTATATGAAGCAATGTCTCTTTTAGCAGTCTTTGGTTTTTGAAAGGAGGAGCAGATAAGTTGTCATATTCCAGCCACCGTGCTAAGAGAGATAACTGCATGGTGTGCGAGATTTAGTAGGTGCTCACGTTGCATAAATGAATGGAAGCCATGTGTCAACTGATCGTCGCTATAATATGGCTGTCTGCCTGTGCTCATCAAGATTTTGTGACTACATTTATCTCTGGTATACCTAAGGGTATGCTCACAAACAAAGCAAATGCCTGAAATTCAGTGTTCATGTCATCCAACTTTTAATGAGCAATAGAGAAAAAAAAAAACCCTTTTAAAAGCCAAGTAATTTATTGAAAACAATGCAGGTGACACATGCAATTGTCACTTTTCTATTCTGAGAGGAGAATTGGACTCCATCTGTTCCAGCCACACAGCTGGAAGATGAACACATGGAGTCCTTCGTTTTCACAGAGTGTGGCTGCTCCTCGGGCTTGAAAATCCAAATGAGCCCTTGAAAATGGAAGTGGGGCATTAAATATCGTGTGTCATAAAATTGAATTCCCATAAGCCAAATGGCATCATCATCAGTACATGAGGGTAATTGTAAAAATAACAACAGTGCTTGTAAAATAATAGAGGTCTAATTTTTTGAGTTCTTACAGTCCACTTGGCATTATGCTTATCAAGTATGGTCTGCTGTCTCGTCCAACTTTTGTTTTCCCTGATTCGGTCGATCACATTTAAGGTCATTTGCAGGATTGGAGAGGGAATAGGGTGAATAAGGACTATTTGAATTTAACCCATTCATCTCAGATGCCAGATTTACCCTCTGAGCTGTAGGTAGTGGGGAGCTGGGGAGGTGGAGAATGGAGCATGGGTATGACTTCAACTCTACGTCTCGGTATTTAAAGCCCGAGGAGACTAAACTGGCAGCCAAATTTCCACTTGAACTAAAAATACTTTTTAAAGTACTTTTGGCCATTCTGGAATTTGGTTGGATTTAGAGTGTTTTTTCTGTATTTATTTATACCAGAGCCAATGTTTTGTATATGTCACACTCCAAAGAGAAAGCAGTAAGTATAAATAAATGTATACAGGAGAGTGTATTTTCAGGTTGTAATTTAAGATACTGTTGCCTAAGTCAACCTGAGGATTTAAAAGATCTCAATACACTCTGAAAAGTTTGCCAGAAATAGATAACTTCTCTACAAAATTTTATTAAAATAGCATTGTTGAATGTAGCAATTAAATAAATTTATTATTAAAGTTTGACATGGGGAGATGGAGAGGAGAAGGGAGTTGGGGGAAATTAGAGGGGGAGATGAACCATGAGAGACTGTGGACTCTGAAAAACAATCTGAGGGTTTTGGAGGGGTGGGGAGCGGAAGGTTGAGTGAGCCTGGTGGTGGGTATTATGGAGGGCACGTATTGCATGGAGCACTGGTTGTAGTGCATAAACGATGAATTCTGGAACACTGAAAAGAAATTAAAAAAATAAATAAAAATTAAAAAAGAATTTGACTATCCACAAAAGAACCACTATTTGTAGATATCATATCCAAGTGTAATTGGCTAATCTCTTGGTCCAGGATGCAATTCAGCATCTCCTGAATCCAAGAATGACGTCATTTATTAAGAAGAATGATGTCATTTATTAAGAACATTGCAGAACTACCACTGAATTAAGTGTATTTGTCTTGGTGGCCCAAATCACGTGTTTAGCCAAAGGGACTAGTCACCATTTAAAAACAGTGAAACAACCATATGAATCACTAAGTTCAAAGTTAGCAGGGGACTCTCTTAAAAGGGACCCACCTTTCTGAGGCTTGGATATTCATGTAACCAGAATTACTCATAGCAAATGTGCATGATAAACACAACAATAACCCTAGATTTCACTTCCTGGTGTTGAGCCAGAAGGGATGTGATGCTATTTGTGAAACACCTAAAAAGGCTGCTGTACTGGTTACTATTATTGATAAATGAGTTAATATGATTCTCAATGTTTGTGTTAGATTATTTTCTTAGAGATTTACAGAATTTTAAATTTCACATTTCAAAAAAAAATTGCCAAAATAAGTACCCTAAAAAAACCACTTTTATCTCTTTTTACCATCATTTCATAATTGCAGGACAAAAAATGTACACAACATGTAGTCAACCTAAGTCAATAAATGTGAGTTGAATAATTGGATGGGTGAATGGACAACAAAAAAGCTGTGATGATATCATTTCAGAATAAAGGAAAGGATTCAAAGGGACTATACTTAGTTTAGGAAAGACTAGAGATGCATTGTCTTTAATGTTCCAATTTCCTATGCCCCAGTAACTTCTTTGTGACCTACCATGAACCCACACCTTGGTTTAAGGTGAGCTCTGTTGCACAGACTAGCCATAAATAGTCTAAAGTTAGCTGTGTTCTGGACATATTGTTTACCCAACTACTACCCATCACAGACTGTTCACTACCAGTCTTTTACTGAGCACCTACTCTGAGCCAAACATGGGGTAGTCTAGGATTTCAGGTTGCCAGAATGATTAAGACGCAGTCTGGGCCCTTAAGCAGAAGGACTTAGTTGAAAGAAAGAGATGGACTTCTCCCCCCTCCCCGACCAAAACAAACAAACAAACAAACAAATTATATGTAGTCTCTGTATTATTTTTGCAACTTTCTTTGAGTCTATAATCATTTCAAAATCAAAAGTTTAAAAACAAACAGACGTATGGCTATGAGACTAGCATTTTGCAGGGCGCTGGGACACATGACCACATGAAGCCATGATCACGGCCCCAGAGAGCCTAGAGCTGAGTGGACAAGGCAGAGAAGTGAACAGACAATGCAGGCTCCGTGTGGTAAGTGCTCAGTGGGAGGTTGCATAGAGGCTCAGACAACTCCAGGAAGAGTATGACTTTAGATCAGGGGTGCAATCAGGCAATGCTTCCCCCAAGGAATGGGTTAGCAAATTTTTAAAGTGCATGGCATGTGGAAAGCTCCTGGGATGGTGTGTGGACTACAAGCTCATGTGGCATCTGGAGAATTACACTCTTTCCAAAGACTTTTGCCCCTGCTGGATAGAGTCTCCTGGCTGTGGTGCTCTGTGGCCAGGACACCAGACATACCTGTCTGTTGTTTCTCCTTCCCAGTGTCCAACAAGCACCCATTCGTGGACAGCAACCTTCTCTACCAGTTCAGAATGAACTTCCGGCGGAGGCGCAGACTGATGGAGCTGCTCAATGAAAAATCGCCCTCGTCTCAGGAAACTCATGATAGCCCCTTCTGCCTGAGGAAGCAGAGCCATGACAATCGGAAATCTACCAGTTTTATGTCCGGTATGTCAGTTTCATTGTGTATGTGATCAGGTGCATTTGTCTTTTGAGAACTAGTCTAGTGATGCCTCACCTTTGTGAAAGGCTGTCCTCTGGCACCTTTTTATTTATTCATAACCAAAAAGTATGGGGGGGAACCAGTATGACCATATTGTTCCTGGGCAGTCCATTTAGATGTGATGAAAACATAGTTATATCAAAATTTTTTTAATTTATTTATTTAACACACAGACAGAGATCACAAGTAGGCAGAGAGGCAGGCAGAGAGAGAGGAGGAAGCAGGCTCCCTGCTGAGCAGAGAGCCCGATGCGGGGCTTGATCCCAGGACCCCCAGATCATGACCTGAGCCGAAGGCAGGGGCTTTAACCCACTGAGCCACTCAGGTGCCCCTCAAATTATGTTTTTTTGTGATAGAAATTTTCTTAAGCTCTCACGCTACCTTATTTACTTTTCATTTGTAAACAATTCTTACATATCATTAATGATCCAGTTTTCTAAATCAGAACACTGACAAGCTCTATGTTTTAATAGTGAATAAGGACTTGTGAGGGCATATTCAACTAAAAGACTACTGATTGTCAACCTGGCATGAAGGGGTGACCCAGAACAAAGAAAAATTGTGAAAAGCAAGCAGAGGAGCTCATAAAGCCTAGGACATCACATGGAAGGTCACACAGTCCCATATTTACAGTGACCCCTGCCAGAAATGACACTGACAGGGGTCCGCAAAGATAACCCCGCTCATCCGGAAAAGGTTAACTTGAGGTGCCCTTCTTCGGAAGAAGCAGAAGTGCTTAAATGGCTATCTTCAACTCCTCTGAAAATTTGGCATGGATTGACTTGAGAAACTGGTTGGTCTAAGGTTTGCACGATCTGGGCTTTGCCTGAAACTCAGGGCACAGTGAAAATGTGTGTCTTGGTTACTTATGGCAGGAGGCAATGAGAACCCTTGCAGCCATATTGACACCTTTCTGTGCCCCCTGGCACTGAGCTAAGCTTGTTTGCATAGTTTTGCTCTTTAATTCTCACTGTACCCTCAGAAGAAGGACTTTTCTTATTCCCATTTTGTGGGTAGAGAAACTGAGGCATGGAGCAGTAGAGGGGCTTACCCAAGGTTACAGAGCTAGAAAAGGGTGGACAGAGCTGGATCTCATGCCAGTTCTGTCTTCACTCCAGTGCTTCTGCCCCAACCCCCCTCACCCCACAGACAGAACTAGGGTGGAAGAAAGAAGGAAGCAAGAGCCCCTCAGGGAAAGTGAGGACTAGCAGCCAATCAGGGGCCCAGTCTGTGCTCAGACACACCCCAGCCGTGTGTCCCCTTTGGGCTGCAGCCTTCTGCCAATGCAGAGTAAGTCTTCCCGTTCTCTTCTAGCACTAAGCTCTGCCTGTGTCTTGTGGTCAGATAGAACCTGAAGGTGACAGTGATGAAAAGGAGGACAGAGGGGACGTGGTCACCACAAAAGCCAGCATTTGTTTCTTTCCCATGTTCCAGGCACTAAGCGGGGACTCTCCGTGGCTTCTGTCATTTGACCGTACACCCTCCTCTCTCCCCTCCCTTGTTGAGAGCCACACACTCTGTGGCAAAGAGAGCCAGACCCAACTGCTACCCCACATACACTTTCAGAGCTAAATACATGGTCTTGTGTTTTAATCTCCCTCTTCCATGGCTCTGGGTGATTAGTGACTTCGTAGTAAATCAGGAGACTTTATTATTACCTTAATCTGTTAAGTGTCAAGCCGGGAGGTAATTTACATCCTTCCAGAACTGCTCAGCACAGGCTCTGTCATTCTTGAAATAACATTTTATGTTCCTGAGTACATTCCCATTCGTCATGTAATCCACTCTTCCTACCGACCCCGTGGGACCGCATTATTCCCACTTCACAGCTGGGGAAGTAGAGGCTCCAAGAACTGAAACGAGTGGCAGGCTGCAGTTGAAATTCTTGCCTTTCTTTCTTTCTTTCTTTCTTTCTTTCTTTCTTTCTTTCTTTCTTTCTTTCTTTCTTTCCTTTTTTAGATTATTTATTTATTTAAGAGAGAGAGTGAGCTCACAAGCAGGGGAGAGGGACAGAGGGAGAAGCAGGCTCCCCATTGAGCAGGGAGCCCACGGCTGGACATGATCCCAGCACCCTGGGATCAGAACCCGAGCCGAAGGCCCCCGCTTAACCGACGGAGCCCACCCCCCCCCGCCAGGTGCCCACATTCGTGTTTTTCTGACTCCAAGCCAGGGTGCCTTTTCCTGGCGGGCTGGCCTGGCCTGGCCTGGCGGTGGCAAGCTCCGGTGGACTGGGGAGGGGAGGCAAGCGCCCCCCCGTGACCCGCTGTGTTTCCCGCCCGCACAGTCAGCCCCAGCAAGGAGATCAAGATCGTGTCTGCCGTGCGGAGGAGTAGCATGAGCAGCTGTGGGAGCAGCGGCTACTTCAGCAGCAGCCCCACCCTGAGCAGCAGCCCCCCGGTGCTCTGCAACCCCAAGTCCGGTGAGTGGCCGAAAGGCAGCCCCGGGTTTCTGGCTGGGGTGGGGGATGGGTGTGCAGGCGGGGTGTGTCCCCCCCCCCGGGGGGGCAGCAGATTCTCAGACGGGGTTGGGGGGAGACTCGTGAGTGGGAATCTGGTGCCAGCATCCCCTCGAACGGAAGGGAAACATGGAGGTTTGGGCAGAGGGAGGGTCAGGCTGCCCCACTGACTCCAGGGGGAGCTCTGGAGTCTGGGTGGCCCTTCAGAGTTGTCCCAGCTTGGGGTGACACGGCCAGGCCCGTCAACCGTCATTTTTGAGCATTCATTCGATGTCAGCTGCCCTTGGGGAGGAGGGCAGGACTTTGGGCAAGGCAGCTCTTTCCAGAGGCAGTTGGGAAGACAGTGGAAGATACCCGAAGTCCCGGCGTCTGGGAGAAGCCCCACGCTCCTAAGAGGGTTTGAGCAGATGCAAAGATCTTTTGGGTCCCAGGAGCCCCCAAAGAAGAGGCACGGATCTATGCAAACCCTGCGCTCTCTGAAAATGACTCCTGGTGCCTTGCGTTTATGATCCTACTCATCGAACTCCATGGCCTTTACGTTCCAGAAAGAAAAGTCTAGGTGCAAAGATGGGTGATGAGCTCGTGCTTAAAAACATTTCTTCCTTGACCCTGTCAGTTCTTCAGCCCATAGGTTCCTGTAACTCCCAGATACAGCCAGCGTCTCACTGCCCCTTACCCACCGCTCTGCCAGGGTTAGATTGCATGGTCCATCGTGCCAATAATCACTGCCTTGAAAACACCCTCAACTCCCTTTTTTTCCACGCCCTGTCCAGTATATCACCTTCAGGGAAGGGACTTTGTTCCTTTGGCTCATGTTGTTCTCTCATCACCACATTTGGGGATATAAAGACGAAAGATCATGACCCCTTCCCTCAGTGAAGCCATCATCTCTCTGGGAGGGGGGAGAGAATACACATGTTAGTAAGGACAAATAAATATTGATCAAAGGGCTTTAGGAGAAACTGTTATGTAAGGATGTTATCTAGGCAAATGGGTATTTTACCTAATCTAACATTTTTTTGCTACCTTCTGGAGGGTTAGCTGGAAGAGTCAAATCATAATGAATGAAGAAACTGGCTTCCACACTGACTCTGGCTAGAAAATCATTGAGCCCCCATGTGTTTTCCAATGAACAAGCACTGCTGATAAGGTAGAATGAGAAAGGAGAACTGTATTCTTAGAAATAGACTTTTTGAAGCCTAGATCGAAATCTGACAGGTGTAACCTAGAGTTAGAAGCGATAGAGTTCAATTTCAGAAAAGGGTCAGCGAGGCTAAAGCCATTTTTTTTCTTGCTTGCATTTGCATACAATGGTAGAGTCAGAGCGAAGTGTTAATTACTTAAATGAACTACACATCCACCTTTCCTGGGTGGGTTTTCCCTGTTTCCTCTTTCTCCTCCCGCCTTGGCTCAAAGGGGAAAGTATGCTGATAAGGAGGCAACAAAAAGGTCAGGTTGCCTTTTTTGGGTCTCCATTGTGGTTGTCTCAATTGTCTTAACTATGCTTCATAAATCCTACATCTTACCCATATTCTGACACGCTTCTCCTTCACTCTTGGGAGGGTTCCCAGGGTGCAGTGAGCTCATGTGTGATTTTTTTTTTTTCTCAAGCAGATAAGCAGGGCTTCACAGTAAGGCACTTAAAATTAATCATTATATTTACATCTGGATGTATTTTTTTTTAGTACTGTGTATTAATGCCCTAAGCCAGCCAAAACAAACAAACAAACAAACAAACAAACAAAAAAAGAGCTACCAGATATTCCCGTTATTGGTGTTCTTATAATGAGCAAATAACTTCCAAAGGACACAAAAAGAGAAAGTTAAAGGATAATTCCATGGGCTTCAAGATTTCTATTTTTCAACAGAAGAAAGGGCAAATGTATTAAAATATTTTAATTTATAATTTATTTTATTTTATTAGTATGGTGGTCAAATATCACAGTACAGTGTGATTTAAAACCATGACGAGCTGTGATCTCGCACCTGTTAGAATGGCTGTTGTCAAAAAGACAAGAAATAACAAGTGTTGGCGAGGATGTGGAGAAAAGGGCACCCTCGTGCACTGTTGGTGGGAGTGTCAAAGGGTGCAGCCACCGTGGGAAGTAGTATGAGGGGTCCTCAGGAAACTAACAGAGAACCATCGTATAATCCTGCAATTTGCTGCTGGGTATTTATCCAAAGGTAGGAAAATGGAAGCTTGAAAGGTTATCTACATGTCCACGTTCATCTCAGCCTTATTTACAATAGCCAAGACACGGAAATGACCCAAGGGTCGATGGCTAGACGAATGGATGAAGAAGATGAGGGATATGACACAACTGCATATCGTTCAGTCATTAAAAAAAGGAAATCCTTCCATTTGCAACAACATGGGTAGATTTTGAGAGCCTTATGCGACATGACAAATATGTGGTCTCACTTATGTGCGGAATGAAAATGGGAAAAAAAAACCACACCCAAACTCACATATCCAGGGAACAGATTGGTCATTGCCAGAGGAACGGGTGAAGATGGGCAAACAGTACAAATTTCCCATTAGAAAATAAGTAAGTCCTGGGGTGTAATATACAGCATGACCCCTATAGTTCGTACTACTGTATTGTCCATTTCAGAGTTGCTAAGAAAATAAATCTTAAAGGTTATCACAAGAAAATAAAAGGTTGTAACCATGTGAGTTCATAGGTGTTAGCCGGACTTATTGTGGTGATGGTTTGCCAAAAATATATACATATATTGAACCATTATGCTGTAACCTGAGACTAATATAGTTTTAGATGTCAATTATAGCTCAATAAAAAGAAAGATTATGTATATTAAAGAATTGGACAGTAATATTATAGTAATAATATAGTAATATCATGGTAATATTATAGTAATAAATATTACAGTACAGTGTGCTTCCTATATCCAAATTCATACACCCAGAAGTGGTTTTGGGGAGGGGGGGGACTTGTCTGATAGGAAATTAAAAAGTCTGAGTTCTCAACTGTGGACCTCTTCTCTTATCTCCTGTTCATCTGAGAGGTTCTTTTCTTTGATATTCGACCTGCTTCCTCTTTTGGGGAGAATGTAAATTCATGTTCTCTTTTATGAGCTTTATAAAAGCAACCAGTCATCCCAGCCACCTGTCATCTCAACGAGAATCACTTCATTGCCTTTGACAGAGAGAGGGTCTGTAAGTGCCATGCTTCCTGGTGGGTCATCCAGGTCTTGCCCTGTGCTGCCTTATCTTTTTCTGCTGTACCCTTGTTCCAGGACTGGCCCCTGACCTCTGAATGCTGCCAGCCAAGGGAACTGAAGGCTGGCACTTTGCCAGGTTAGGGGCTTGGCCTTGGCCCCTCATGTTTCTTTGGGATACCCAAGGTCATGATCTCTGTCTAACTAGGTAAGGAGGCTCCCTGGGTCGCCATTTGCTGGCTTCTCTGGATGTCCATAGCAGTCCCCTATCAAGTTCTTAGTGAGCCCCGGATGGATGGAGACATTCATTACGGCGTATTGTTCTAATTGTTTTATTTTATTGTTAGTGTTGGTGTTAATCTCTTACTGTGACTCATTTCTACAATAAACTTGATCATGAATATGTACACATAGGAAAAAATGTAGTATCTCTAGGGCTCAGTCCTATCCATGCCTTCCAGCACCCACTGGGGGTCTTGGAATGTGTCCCCCACAGATAAGGAGGGACTACGGTATTGGCAGAATTTCAGGGCGCCTGCAAGTCAGGGATTGGCTGCTGGCTTTGCCATCTTGCTGGGCAACAGTAGCGAGCTGATAAGAACAGACATCTTAGGAGGACAACTCACTACTGCCTTCTGGAGTTTTTGAGCCCATCCTTCTGCTCATGGAGAAAGAGAGCATGGGAGGACCCATGTCGCAGTGGCTGCTGGGCCTTGGTATCCAGTGCCCGAGTTTGAATCTTGATTGTGCTACCGATGAGGGCTGAGATCCTGGACAGAGCTATTTAACTTTTCTAAACCTCTGGTGTCTCACTAATAATATAGGGATAATGTGGAACCTAGCTAGATAGCTTTTGTGATGACTAAATGAGATAATATATTTGGAACACCTAGCATAGAGCCTAGCACACACTGAATATGCTTAACATTCCTCTAGCATCATTCCTCGGGACGTGACACACTCAGTGAGTGGGTCCATGTAGTCCAGGATATTGATCAGGAAATAAGTAAAGCTTCCATGAGTGAGATGAGATGTGTGCCGTATGTTGTGGGGGGTGGGATGGGTAGCTCTTGAAACATGGCTATGGGACTGCTGGAGTCAAGTCTCTCTCTTAACCTTTTCCTGTTGAATACATGTCAGGATTCAAAAGAAAGAAGCATGAGCACTAGAAAACTTTTTCTTGATAGAAAAATATCAACGCACTCCTGTGCTATTTCTTCTTTCCAGAAGTCTCTAAGTTGGGCTTTGGGTTAATCGTCCTGCTCATGTTTTCTGTCTCTGTTTGGCTAGAAAGATACACTGTGAGGTGGGGATCCTTGCCATGCTTCTTTGTGGATGGTCACATACGAGGCATTCAGTAAATATCCGCTACATGAATGAACAAACGACCAGAAGGGTTTTCACCTTGACCTTGTGTCTGTCTTATAGTGTTGAAGAGACCCGTAACTTCGGAGGAACTCCTGACTCCTGGGGCTCCGTACGCAAGGAAGACATTCACGGTAGGCTCCTCATTTGGGTTTTTCTCGTGCTTTCTCTCTGTGCCATGTCAACATGTCAGTGAATCAGTGTGTAGCTTAGGGACAGAATTGAAAACCTTCTAATTTCCCTTTTGTTTGGCATTATTATGAGAGTAGATTTTCTTGACCCTTGGGCACTAAAATGCATTAGGACTTGACATGATTTATGATTAATACAGCATTTTAAACTCCTTTTGAATGTGCCCTTAAGAAAAGGTTTCCACTATATACTTAGTCTGATATAATTACAGACTTTAAGGCAAATGGCAGTGCAAATAATGCCAATAATTCCTTCTGTGTTACAGTTAATCCCAAAATTCACTTAAGACATTAGAGAAGTCTTTAGGGGAGAAAAGAAAACTATGGGATAATCTGTTCTACCACAAGTAATGGTGCTTTTGACAATGCTGAGCATGTCTTGAGTTATACAAGCCCTGGATTTTGGAGCACTGCGTACCTGTGAGCCCCTCCTGGCCACCTGCCCCTTCTTGGAGGTCCTCCAGGCTTCCTTCTAGAACTACCAGCCCCACTGGCTTTCTTTAAACAGAATCGAAGTGCTTTGCTTGACAGCACCTCACGCACTCTCCATTCCCCCCCTCTTTCTCTCAGTCTCTGCACAAAACCATGTGGACGTGCCCTTGAAGGCACTTCTACTCTTCCTTCAGTCTTCTAACTTTGGGGGGCACCTGGATGGCTCAGTTCGTTAAGAGTCTGCCTTCAGTTCAGCTCATGATCCCAGGGGCCTGGAATTGAGCCCCACATCAGGTTCCCTGCTCAGCAGAGAGTCTGATTCTCCCTTTCTCTCTCCATCTGCCTCTCCCCCTGCTCATGCTTGTGCTTGCACTCTCTCTTTCTCAAATATTTGTCAAGGCCTGCCTCACTTTCTGGGCACCAAGGAGTTAAAATAAAGATGGGGTCAGTCCTAACCTATCAATATGAAAAAATGCATTGGGAATATGTCTGTAAAAGATAAACTATGTTTTGTAAGTGAATTAGGTATAAGGAACTAATAACCAGCAAAACCTAAAGCCAATGGAAGGCCTAAACTTTTTTTTTTGAGAATGTTCACCAAAATTGCATTTGCTTTCCTGCCTTGCATCAGTCTCAAGCATACAAGAAACAGTTGATGATATTTGTAAGTATTTCTCTTTGGTTTTAAATGTAAATGCCCTCATTGCTAGTAATTGTGAATGTGTGTCTTCTGCATTTTAATTGGGGTATGTATTAGAGACATGTCTGGGAGTTGCCCAGGGAATGTAACTGCCAAGTATAATGATTCTATAAGAAAAGGCACCCTCTAGTTTCAAACACTTTTGGAACAGCCCTTCCTTGTAAATTGTGAACTTTAAGTACTTATTCACTTACTTTTCTTGGTAGACAAAATTGTGTTTCAAAAAAGCCGAAACTCTTCATATTCCACACGGTTGGTAATTTAAATTGTTCCTTTGGACTTCACGGATATAGCAAGATCACCAGGAGAGTATCATTGGATCCAGGGGAAAAAGAATAAATTTGGAACAGAACTTGGGTCTAGAGAGAAATTTCAACCGTGTTTTCACGATCTTCTAAATTTTCCATTGGAGTCTGATATTAAATTGCATAGCAGCCTAAGAAAGAGGCGATCTGCTGGTTATGTACTGATGAGTACACCTCACAGAGGAAGCTTCTTTCTGCCAAAAAGGTATTTTCTTGACTCCCCCTTTCTACATTGATATGCCTGTGTTTAGGATAGAAGCAAAATGTCATGTTCTCCCACAAGGTTCAGATAAAACAGAGGAGAGAGATGTCAGGACACACACCTTAATCCTGGACTGGTTTTCTTTCTCTTGGAAGGACAGGCAAATTGCTAGAGACCATCTGCCGATTGCTCACTGTGGTTTTCCTCTCCAGATTGTCGGTGATGCCGTGGGTTGGGGCTTTGTGGTACGAGGAAGTAAGCCATGCCACATCCAGGCCGTGGACCCCAGTGGCCCAGCAGCAGCAGCGGGAATGAAGGTACCTCCAACCGGGCAATGTCTGAACACCTTTAGCCTCGTTTCATTGTTTGTTTCCATCTGTACGTTCCCTCCCTGAGTGGTTTGGTCCCATTTTGGTCAAGTTTCCTTTACCCTTTCTGAAGAGGGTTGAAGTGAAGCCAAGAGTGTATGATGTGGCCACCAGGAGGAAAAGCTTTCCTGTCACTCTGATGGGGCCTCATTGGTTTCCGGTCTTTGCGTGGTTAGTCTCATCTCTCCCCTCCACCAGTACTGAGTTTGAACAAAAAATAGTAGCTTTTTTGCTCAAGTCTTTTTTTTTTTTTTTAAGATTTTTATTTATTTATTTGACCCAGAGAGGGAGAGTACAAGCAGAGGGAGAGGCAGGTAGAGGGAGAGGGAGAAGCAGGCTCCCCACTGAGCAAGGAACCCAGTGCCCCAGTGCAGGGCTCGATCCCAGGACTCTGGGATCATGACCTGAGCTGAAGGCAGATGCTTAACCGACTGAGCCACCCAGGTCCCCCACTTTTTGCTCAAGTCTTATATGATAACTCTACTGCTTTGGTTCTATAAAGAAGTATACTTTGGGGGCGTTTATGCAGTCACTGGAACATGCTTAGACCATGGGAGGCAGCAAGCAGTGAGCAGAAGAAAACAGAAGTCATGGGATTTGGAAGAGGAGATCTGGGATTCCCATTTTGGTTCTGCTAATTTCTAGATCTTTGACCTTGAACAAGTCCTGTAACTACCTCAGAACCCGCTTTATCCTTTCTCAAGTAATACATTTCCTTCTGCTGTTAAATATGTGGAAACTCTTTATAAGGTGCAGAGAATGACACAAACATCAAACAAATTAAATGAATTGTGGAAGATTTTTTAAATAACTTTCGATATTTTATGGTACTAAAGTAATGCATGTAAAGTCAAGAAAGTCTAGAAAATACAACAGAAGAAAATGTAGAAAATACCAGCAGAAGAAAATGATAATTGCTTGTAATCTTTCATAACACAGATGTAACCACTATTTACATTAACTTTTTTTTTAAGATTTTATTTATTTATTTGACAGACAGAGATCACAAGTAGTCAGAGAGGCAGGCAGAGAGAGAAGGGGAAGCAGGCTCCCTGCTGAGCAGAGAGCCCAATGTGGGGCTTCATCCCAGGATCCTGGGATCATGACCCGAGCCAAAGCCAGAGGCTCTAACCTACTGAGCCACCCAGGCCCCCCTACATTAACTTTATTGGGATGTGATTGACATACAGTAAAGCATAGTCCTGTTCACATTTTAATTTCTATCTTCTGACTTCTTATATTGTGTATATACATATACACACATACATCTATATGTAAGGATATATGTGTTGTGTGTGTGTGTATGTGTGTGTATGTGTGTCTGTGTGTGTATGTGTATATATATATATATATGTATGTATATATATATATACATATCTTGGTTTCTTTAAGCTTTTTAAATCGGAGTATAATTAAGTACAATGTTATATTAATTCCAGCTGGACAGCATACTGATTTGACAATTCTATAGATGACTTGGGGCTCACCTGGGTAAGTGTAGTCACTATCTGGCACATAGTTTTTATTTACACAGAAATATCATATAAGAAGTTGTTGAGAGCATTGGTTTTCTCTTTCAAAACACCTTTACCTGGGCTGCCTGGATGGCTAGGTCTGTTAAGCACCTGACCCTTGGTTTCAGCTCAGGTCATGATCTTGTGGTTGTGGGATCAAGCCCCACGTCGGGCTCTATGGTCAGTGCGGTATCTGCTTCAGATTCTCTCTCCCTCTCCCTCATCCTCCCTCTCCCTCTCTCTCAAATAAAGAAAATCTTAAAAAAAAAAAAAAACAGAAAACACCTTTACCTACCCCAGTTTTCTTCTGTCATCTGTAAAACATTTCTCAAGAGGATATTTATGTCTTGATTATCTGGGCCTGTGGGAGGATGCAGAAGGCTTGAAAGCTACAGATCATTCCTCTGCTCATTTCTTCAGCACTCTCATCGTCTCCCATCGTCAGTCCTTTTCCTGGACCAGTAAACCAGTCAAGTGATAGGCATGGCTTGGGTCTTCACAGCTCTGATGTCCAGCACTTACCCTCCACTGATGTGCCCACTGGAAAAGAAATCTGGGCAGCAGAGACCAGCTCAAGGGTACACAGACCACAGATTACTGCTGGTCTGGGTAATCAGTGCTGTAGGATTAGGGGTTGACTCTATGCCCTGATCTGAACACCATCATTCACACAGGGAAGTCTGGGCTCACCAGGTACTGTGCTCTGGCTGAGTTTCAGAAGCCTTGTTGGCCAAGTCCGTCTGTGTGACAGGCCCTTCCTCCTTCCTCCATCCACAGCAGGCACAGCAACAAAGAAACTCGGAGCAGGAAGTTGGCCGGGAGCAGAAAAGGCGAGCATTTGTATCTGTGCCGAGGCTGAATTTGTCATTTTCTAATGGAACTCTTGGCCCAGGGAAGAGTTTTATATTTTATTTCCATAGTAAAGCACCTAGTAGAAATTATTTTTGGCAGAATGTTTCAGTGCTAAGCATGTCCTCACTCACATAGGGCTTTGACCTAAAGCATGTTTGCTTTGGGGAAAGTGATGGACTTACGCTGCAGTTGAAGACCTTGTTGTGCTTGGCCATGTAATTGATTGTAGTCTGTCTTTATTGATTAACATGAATTACTGTTCTAGACATTGTCGATCGGTCCGTTCATTAAGTCCTTAGTGTATATACTTTGATAAGTGGGTAACCTGATAGTCTGTTTTCCAACATCATAAGCTACTATTTCATATGGTTTATAGTCTTAGTTTCTCCAGGGGTGTACAATGGTTTTCATATGTTTTTAGAACAATACAGGATTTATTAGAGCAGCATTTCCAAAGTTGTATTATACAGCTCTCTGGTCCAGCAAAATATACTGACCTGAGGTTCTGTGATCAAAATTAATTAGTTAATTAATTAATTAAAAGAGAGAGAGGGTGTGCATACATGCCCACAAGCCGTGGGGAGTGGGGGCAGAGGGAGAGAAAGAGAATTTTAAGCAGGCTCGGTGCCCAGTGCAAAGGTTCCATCTCTCAACCCTGAGATCATGACCTGAGCTGAAATCGAGTTGGACACTTAACTGACTGAGCTGCCCAGGGACCCCTGTAATTAAAATTATTTCAAACTGCTGTGCACTTTAGTGCCCTTTCGGAAATTCACAAAGCACGCTGGCGTATTAAAAATTCTGGTAAGTCCAGCAGGCAAAAAACTTGTTTAAATTGTCTAACACAATGTTTTATCATTTAATAGAAACACTCAAATGAAATCTTAGGATTGTTAAGCTATAGCATTAAAACTGTTCAAAGAGGGGCACCTGGGTAGTCAATCAGTTACTCATCTGACTCTTAATTTCAGCTCAGGTCCTAAGACTGAGCCGCACGTCGGGCTCTGCGCTGAGCGTGGAGCTTGCTTAAGATTCTCTCACTCTCCCTCTGCCTCCTCCCCCTGCTCTCGCTATCTCTCTTAAAAACAAAAATAAAAACGAAAACAAAATGTTCAAAGAAACTGCTTTTGGTCAAACTGTGTATTGAGATGAATATATAGAGATATATTTTTGAATTGTATTGCTGGTTGAATGAAAAAGACAGAGAATACCATGTCCTTCCATATCCATACAGTTTAACTGTGTATATTCATTTTAATTACTTAGCACATTGTTTTTCTCGAAGAAAACATTGAACTATTTCCTATTTTACCATATTTACTTGCCCTCGAATAATTTCACTTACATACAAATTCGTTCCTATAATCCAGTCCCAGAGGCTTGTTTCCACTGACCTGTCACATTGCTGCTGCCCTTTACCCTTGTTCAGGAAAACTGCAGGGTGGTGTGTCTGGTTGTGCTGAGCCCTGGGAGGGTAGGAGGATGGGACACCAGCCCACGGGAGCTTACCCACTGACCTGCGTAATGATTGACCTGCTTGGTCTGGGCGGTAGGAATGATCCAAAGCTCTGGCCAGAAGCCTCGTTTAGCACCTCTGACTGGCAGGAGCTGACCCAGGATAGTATAAAGTGCCTCGCTCTGTGTTCAGGGTCACTGTCTCCGTGGAATGCCAGCCTCACCCCTCAAGTCACCGTCCTGGTTTCCTCCAGCTTTCTGACGTGAACAGAGCCTTGCGCCTGAGCCTTTGTGACCACGGCTGCTGAATTTCACTACTTGACTTGCCAAAACAGAGATCATTTTGTAGCTAAGTTTCTCATGGGTACCATTTCTCTCTCTTATGTCAACTTTCTGTGGGGATCTGAAAGTTTTAAGGTGTGGGTCTCCAGCATGTGGACAGGACAGACCCCAGACTGAAGAAACTGAGGGCCATTTGCCCCTGTTAACACTTCTAGGCCTTCCCAGACCCAAAGGAGAGCTCCTTGCCCGGTTTAAACGGCATCCTTAATCCATTCTCGAGGAGACCTTCATGTTTGTATTAAAATTTACTTCTCTACAATGTCTGGAAGAACTTCAGAGAACAGGTATCCTTCAGGAGAGTGATAAGGTCTGCCGCAATTCTAGATTGGAGTAGAGACATCTGAGATCTTTGTGCCTGGGCCACCTAGCCCCGTGGCCCCATAGCTCTCAGGCCTCCCAGTCTACACTGCTGACTGAGGCAGACGGGGCTGGGTCAGACAACTGGACTGCAAAGTGGGGCAGCCCAGTTGAGAATGAACGAGAGGCAGGGCCGGGAGCCTACAAACGTGTAGAGCAGGGAAAGTTGCAGCCTGACCTCCGCTGTAAATGCAATGGAATTTTAGACGTTTCAGTCAATTATTCGATTTCTATATGATCCCAAGCTTGTTTGTCAAGTGTGTCTTTAGTCTGGTTTCTCCCCTTCCCTTCTGATGACTTGGTCTCCATGCTGTAGGAAAATGTTTGTTCCCAGAGACCTAAAAGGAAACGGATGTTACAAGAGGCCCCAGACTATAACCTTATTTTTAGTTTTGTCTGAATCAAGACACTCTTTAAAAAAAAAAAAAA